ACTTGTTTAACAACTGCAGCAATTCATTTAACAACCATGGCAAGAAAGGTCGTAAAATGGGTTAAAATTCACTTAACAAATGTTTCATTTAGTAATAGAAATGTTGGGCTCAATTGTAGTCATAAGTTGAGGAGTAACTGTACTAAGTTTCGGTAACTTGTATGGTAACATCCATCTATCTGCCTGACCTGTTAATGTATCTTAACAGTTTTTGAACCAGGAAACTCATTTTAAATCCCATCAATTCCTTTGAAAATGCTAGCATGCAGTCATTTGTGTAGACTTTGTTATTGGGCTGGGCTTGATTTATTTGCATTTTACAAAACAAAAAAAATGGTCAAATACCAGCAGGGTCTCATTAAATAAATTGACTAATCAAGAAAAAATATTTTGCATTTATAAATGATTAACTTTGAGCAAAAATACTATGACTCTCAAACCAGTTATTTCAGCCTACTCTTCAAGGGTAATTCTCTTAGATGAAACAGCAGCAGCAGACATTGGAAAAAGCAGAAAAAATTCTGTTCTGATTCCAAAAATCAAAGTTTAATGAATTCCATTGGTCATAACTTGGGACAAAAGTTTATAATCCTTTTCCTTGCCTATTATTATAATGAATTTTCTGCATTTTTATATTTGAGAAAGCAAGTTGTTGATTATTTAATGCATTGCTATTTTATGGATTTTTTTGGTTCTATGGTTGGGGCATGTAATTGTAATGGCAAAAGTAGATAAATATGCTTGTAAAATATATGACATAGGAATAAACTATAGCCTAACCTTTTTTTTATATATATAAATTTTTATTGAGTTATATTATAGTACAATACAAGTGAAATCAGTTAGACAGTCTTAATTCATATACAAATTGGATATATTCTTTTACTATAGTGTCTCATAATTTACCCATTAAACTATAGCCTAACTTTTAGTTCTTTCAGTTGCTGGAAAGGATATTGATTTGACAATATCACTTAGGGGTTGAGAAAAAGTTTCTTTGGAATGTAAATGAGAATATGATCTGAATCGTATTTAGGTGCCCTGGTGACAAGGTCTCTATAGAGTCTATACCAGTGGTGGGATTCTGCCAGTTCTAGGCGGCTCGGCCGAACCGTTTGTTAAATTGCTGGCTTGCCCCGCCTCTTGCCAATAAATAGTGGGAGCGGGGTGGGGCGAGGGGCGGGTGAGCCAGTAATTTAACAAACGTTTCGGTATTTTTTTGCAATTTCTTGGCCTTGCAGCACACTGAACCGTTTGTTAAATTGCTGGCTCGCCCGCCCCTCGCCCTGCCCTGCCCTGCCTCTCACCCGTGTGGCGTCAGCCTACCCTAGCCCAGGGCTGGGCAATTGTGGCTCTTTTACAACCTGTGGACTTCAACTCCCGCCTAGCCCATTCTGGGGAATTGTGGAGAATTCTAGGAGTTGAAGTCCACAAGTCTTAAAGCTGCCAAGGTGGGAGACATCTGCTGTTACACTGTAGAATCCTTTCAAGCATGAAGATGACCAAGTATCTTCCTTGAGAGACAACATCAGGAGGGCTGTTAGAGGGCAGGGGTACATTTGAAAATTTTTGCATTTTTGCAGGTGGTGCAATACGATCTGGTGTCTGCAATGGAGAGCAAAATCTGGCTTCTTCTCTCCGCTGTAAGTGTGGCATCAGGATTCCACCTTGGTATATCTGTGGCACAAGGCAGCCCTCATCTCCTGCCGCTTGGGACTTGGAGCGGTAAACAGCGTCTGGTTCGGGGAGCGCCGGATTTTGCTCTCCATTGCTCTCGCGGCCCCCTGCAAGCTCTTGTCTCTCGAGGAGCACTCCCTGAAGTGGTGCGGGAAACTTTGGTTGGGCTTCTTGAGAGATGAGAGCTTGCAGGGGGCCAAGAGAGCAATGGAGAGCAAAATCCGGATACTCCCCGAACCAGACACTGTTTACCGCTCCGAGTCGGCAGGAAACAAGGTCTGCCTTGCGCTGCAAGGCGGAATCCTGATGCTGCACTTACAGCAGAGAGAAGAAGCTGAATTTTGCTCTCCATTGCAGACACCAGATCGCCCCCCTGAAAGAGAATGAAAGAGAGAAAGTGGGGGAGTGGGAGAGAGAGAGAGAAAGAGGAAGACGGGGAGGAGAGAAAGAGAATGAGAGAAAGAGAGGGAGAGAGAGAGAGAGAGAAAGGGGGGACAGAGAAAGAGTGGGGGAGAGAGAGAAGGGGGAGAGAGAGAATGAGAGAAAGGGGGAGAGAAAGGGGGAGAGAGAGAAAGAGAATGAGAGAGAGAGTGGGGAGAGAGGGAGAGAGAAAGGGGGGAGACAATGAAAGAGAGGGAGAAAAGGGGGAGAGAGAAAGAGAATGAGAGGGAAAGAGTGGGTGAGAGAAAGAGGGGGAGAGAGAAAGAGTGGGGGAGAGAGAAAGAGGGGGGAGAAAGAATGAGAGAGGGGAGAGAGAGAAAGAGGGGGAGAGAGAGGGGAGAGAGAGAGAGAAAGGGGGGAGCAAAAGAGAGAATGAGAGAGAGGGAAGAGAGAAAGAGAATGAGAGAAAGAGTGGGAGAGAGAGAATGAGGGGAAGAGAAAAAGAGTGGGGGAGAGAGAAAAAGGGGGGAGAGAAAGAGAGAATGAGAGAGGGGGGAGAGAGAGAGAAAGAGGGGGGGAGAGTGCCTGAAGGACCCTATCCCGTCACTGGGAGTCCAGGTGCTTCAGCAAGCGGCATGCTGGATTCGTATTAGTGGTCCGCGAAATTTAAAATTATGAACTTAGTGGTCCCTGAGGTCCAAAAGGTTGGTGACCCCTGCTCTGGAAGATTTAAGTAGCTTAACTGTGCTTGCTTGCCAATACCAGAATTACAGAGTTGGAAGGGACTTTTGGAGGTCTTCTAGTCCAGAGATCTCCAACCTTGGCAACTTTCTCTACCTGGGCCTGATGCTTCCTGAGAGGCAGGGGGTCTCTCCGAATGGGACCCCCTCCCCAAAAGGCTGGCCCCAAAGCCCTAGCTCAGAGGTCCTCAAACTTGGCAGCTTTAAAACTTGTGGACTTCAACTCCCAGAATTCTCTAGCCAGCATAGCTGGCTGGGGAATTCTGGGAATTGAAGTCTGCCAGGCTTAAAGTTGCCAAGGTTGGAGATGTCTGGACTAGAAGATAAATGATGGCATAAATAATGACCGGTCAAAAGTGCGAGGACCTGTCAGAAATCACTCTTTTCAGCCCTCTGGGTAGTCCCTATGTGCATATGGACTACTCAGAGGGCTGAAAAAGTTATTTTTGACCGGTCCTCACACTTTTGACCAGTCCTTGAACTTACGACTGTCCTCACATTTTACGTTTTGCGCCCTATCTTGTCACCATGGTGAAGAGAAGTAGTGGTGAAATGATTGACACAGTTGTTAAGAATGCCGCAACGGACATAAATGTGAGGATGGTCATAAGTGCGAGGACCGGTCAAAAGTGCGAGGACCACTCAGAAATGACTTTATTCAGCCCTCTGGGTAGTCCCTTTGTGCATATGGACTATTCAGAGGACTGAAAAAATTATTTTTGACTGGTCCTCGTACTTTTGACCAGTCCTTGAACTTATGACTGTCCTCACATTTTACGTTTTGCGCTCTATCTTGTCACCGTGGTGAAGAGAAGTAGTGGTGAAATGATTGACACAGTTGTTAAGAATGCCGCAATGGGCATAAATGTGAGGATAGTCCTAAGTGTGAGGAATGGTCAAAAGTGCGAGGATCAGTCAGAAATGACTTTTTTCAGCCCTCTGAGTAGTCCCTATGCACATAGACACGCCCACCCAGTCACATGATTAGCTAACCATGCCTACCCAGTCACATGACCAGCTAGCCACACCCACCCAGTCACATGACCACCAAGCCACACCCCCAACTAAGCCACGCCCACAGAACCGATTGTTAAAAAAATTGAATCCCACCACTGGTCTATATTATATACTATATCAAGGAAATTTACAAAACAGAAAGCAGTGTCTATCATTCTCTGCCATATGCAACTTTTATGAAAACAGTGGGCCATTGATCGTTAAAGCATGTACAGAAACAATAAAGGACATCTCAAGTTCAGTGATGGACATATGCAGGGAGGTTAAAAAATGGTTTTCTGGGATAGGATTAGTGTGTATTAACAGTTTTTCTGGGTGGATTATCAGTCTATTCAGTATTTTTCCTTTTTTTGTGTATTTAATAATAGAACATTGTGTGTTCTTGAAATTCTTTTTATTGCTTATATCAGATAAAGTGCCCCCTCCCCCACTAATTGGAGAGCTCCCATCCTTATTACTGGAATTTTTAATCATGATGAGTAATGATATTTAGGTCCTGTTTGGCCTAGTGGAATGGCCAACTCAGAAATAAATCCATTCCTTGTTTCTTCTATATTTTTTAAAGATTACTTTTATATGAAAATGTTCTATACATTGTCCTATTTTCTTTGGTATAGTTCATGTAGCATTAAAAGATTAAGTATTATTGTTTCCCATTTGTTTGTGAAGAATGGAGCTGGCAGTATTCAACCATGCTGTTAGTTATTTTGCAAGGAAACACACATTCACCAAAGAGCTGTAATAGTAATAGCATTTTGGCAAACAGCTATAAAACAAGGCCCAAGTCCCACTTTCCCATCTTAATGCATTGGAAAGCTTTCAGGGATTCTTCTTGTCTAAAATATTCATAGACAGCAAAATGTCCTGAATGCCCTACAGAATTTATGTAGAGCTAGGTAGGTGATTGATATGGAGGTTCTGTTCTGAGTCACTCACAGTAGGCAAGTCTATTTGTCTTGACAAACACCAGAGAGCAAGCAATGCATAAAATGTAAAGGTAATAGGCCTCTTATTTTCTAACATCCTTCTAAAAATTGTCTAGTACTTCCATTGCCTTGAACAATAACAAATATATTAAATGAATAAGAAGGAGGTATCATATTACTGGTGTGCATAGCTGTGTAGCTACACATAGATTGTGTAGCTAAAATAGCTGACACATTACTTCTTGGGATGGACTTGGAGAGACTTTTTTTCTTTAATTTCTCTCCAGTGAGAAGGATATTTCTAACTTCTTTCCATTTATACCTCAGTCAAAATTCCTTTGGTGAGAAATGGAGCTTGAAACATCATTTCTGTATTTGAGTTAATTAATCAGGCCAAGCAAACAACCGGGGCAGGCAAGCAACACACATTCAAATCCAGTACAGTAGACATTTTCAAGGTAGATGAACACTTTCTATGGTCTAGGATACCGATATACCAGTGAACATATACAGCATGATCAGTAGACACTTGCTTCTCTCCTTGATTCGTTTCCACTCATTGCTTTGGAGAATAGCTTGACTCCCTCTTCTTTGTGGCGACCCCTGAGATATTGGAACACTGCTATCATGTCTCCCCTAGTCCTTTTCATTAAACTAGACATACCCAGTTCCTGCAACCGTTCTTCATATGTTTTAGCCTCCAGTCATTTCTATAAAAACAACAAACATTGTTGAATTAGTAAATCTGAAAGTTTGGCCATTTCTGCTAATTCAATCAGTTTCTCCAACCATTCTTCCTTTGTGGGAATTAACATATCCTTCCATTTCTGTGCATAAAACATTTTCATTGCTGTAAATAGGTATTGCAACAAAGTTTCATTTTTTCTCAAGTCCTTTGTCCATTAAACCTAGAAGAAAAGTATCTGCTTTAATTTTATATTTGTTTTAAGAATCTTCTGTATTAAAATATGAAACTTGCCCTAATATTTCTTTGCTTTGGCACATATCCAATGAAGCTGTTAAAAAGTTCCTTCTTTTACATTTCCAACATACATTTGAAGTACCTTCATACATGTTTGACAATTTATCAAATGTTAAATATTAATGTTACATAATTTTATTAAAAAAAATTTTTGAGTTATAGTTCAATGTAATTTTTAAAAACTTCATCCTCATGTGTCCCCATTGTTCAAACATTATATTATACCCAAAGTATCTTGCCTATTGAATTATACATTGCTTCAATTGTTCGTTCTCAAAATTCAATTTTAATAATAGTTTATAACCTTGGCAATGACTTATTCATCATTACCACACAATACAATTTCAAATTCATTTTTGCAAAGTCAAACCCATCTATTTTAAAACTTTTTTTTCCAATTGTACATATGTAAACCAATGACAGATTCATCCTTCTGATGCTAATCCTTTTTTAGATTTAAGAGATAATAACCTTGAATGAAAGTTATTATTTGACCATAAGTCCACCAGTCTGGGCTCGTCATCATTCCTTTTCTGAAAAAAGCTTCTTGTGCTGATACCCAAAGAGATACTTCATAGAGAATCTTATTTTATATTTATTCCAGACTTTTAGGACGAGATATCTAACAAAATGATTCTTACAATCAATATTCGTCTAAACCTTGTCATACCATAAGCAACTATACCATGCATATCTTAATTTATGGCCATCTAATTCAAGTAATCTCTTGATTTGGAGAGTCCCACACTCTTTAATCAGATCAAGAAGCATCAAAGTCCAAGTTAAATCTGGTAAACCTAAACTTCCTATTTCTTTGGCATCTTGAAGTAATTTGTACCTAACTCTAGGTTTCTTCTTTGGCATATGAATTTAGAAATATCATTTTGCCATTGTTCAAATGGACTGTCAATTGTCAATACTGCTGAAGTCTGAAATAAAAATATCATCTTTGGGAAAGAGCTACCAAGGAGCTTACCCACTCTTATATTTATATGTACATACTGTACATCCTAAATTTGTCCCCAACTCCTAATGACTCTGAGCGGTTTTTATTTTGAAAAAGTAAAAACAAATCTTTCAATAAACTGAACAAAAATAAAGAGTAAAAGATAATATAAGCATGAGAAACAAAAGTCTCTCTAGTCCCTTTTCACAACATTCTGGTGTAAAAGAGCTCTCGTCCTCCCTCTCTCATCCTCTGGAAACTGGAACTGGAAAGAGAGTTCCAGTTCTTCCACACTGTCTCTTTCTAAAGCAATGTGGAACACATAACCAAAGCCCAGAAAATTATTCCTTTTTTTTTCATAGTTTTATTAAATTTTCTGAACATTTTTGTGCTAATGCTAAGAAGAAGGCAAGAGACAGAACTATAAAATGTTGGGTTACCTTCCAAAACAGTATCAGTAGTTTTTCAGTTTTCACTGTCAGTATTTCAGAGGTCAGAACCTTGGTATGATTTAATGTTTTTCATCTCATCGCAGAAGAAGAAACAATACTATAAAGAAAAAGACAGAGACTTAAAAGCTAAGAATAGAAAGGGTTCCTGGAATCTATGACCATTCCAGCAGACATTGCTACTTCGTTTTACAAAAGAATTGTAACTTCTGCTCCATAACCATTGAAAGAAGATAAATGAGAACCAAAAAAGGAAGAAGGAAACAATTACTCAGAAGAATGGAACTTTTCACAATGTCAAGAAGGCAATACACATAAGAGCTCTATTTCTAGTTTGTAATTCTATCTTTTAAATATAATAGGAGTTATTCTGTTCTGAAGAGGTATTATTGAAGATGATTTATGCACCAGTTGCTTGATCTGAATGAGCATGGGGAAGGGGCTCATATAGATCTTTCAACCAGAGAAAAGTTCATATTCATTTAATAATGTTGATTTAATAGTCTAAATCATGACACATAATCCTGGTTGTTTTGAAAACACTCAAGAAATAGGTTGAATAGATATTCCCTTTCTCTATTCCCAGACCCCTAAAGCAGTTTAAAATAGGACAGAATAACTTTGTTCAGATGTTCTGGCAATACAATGAAATCAAATTAGGAAACTCTAACAGTTTCTGTCATAAAATTCACTGATGTCTGCACAAACCAGGAGGCAAAATTTCTATTTTAAAGTGCCTCTCACATGTGGTTGTCAGTGCTTAGTAGCTCACAGATGATAGGAACGAGGGAACACAATATGAAAATTTATGCCAATATAGATTTCTGTTCAAGGATGAGTAGATAGCATGTTAAAATGTGAAGAAGACATCTCAATTGGTCAGAATTCAGGAAGCAAAAACATAATATCTTGAAAGCTCCAGTCAGATAATTTCTTTTGAGAAAAACCTTATAAATGTGCAAGGTTTCACTGGGCATGATAAAAAAAAAAAATCAAGATGTGACTGTGCAATCAATGCACAAGTAATGGTCATAAAAAATAGCTGGTGTTTTCATCACACTGTAATGGCTACAATTTTGATTTCTTTGACCATAACCTGCAGATATACTTGTATATGTATAGAAAGGACATATTAGAGGAAAGGTGATACTTGCTAATCTTAGATATGTGGTTAAGCAATTTAGCCCCTATGCTCCAAGGGAGAAAAATTGTGTTTTCTCTAGATAAAACTTTGATTTAGAATATTGCAGAAATAACATTTAATATAGGATACTTTTTGGCAAAAGGTTTATAAAAGACTGAGTCCATTGTCCCAAATGTTTAAAATGATTTAATTGTATTCAGTGATGGCTTTATGCCAGGAAAAGAAAGAAAAAAAAATCTTTTTGTATAAAAGGTCATTCTGGACCTTTTGAGAACCAATTCAGTGTAATGGTTAAGATGGTACCTGAGTGGCGTAGGAGGCTAATGCCTCCTACTAAGGCAGCATTTAACATCCAGCTGCCTGCAATTACTGCGAGTTCAATTCTCACCAGGCTCAAGGTCGACTCAGCCTTCCATCCTTTCTAAGGTGGGTAAAATGAGGACCCGGTTTGTGGGGGCAATAAGCTGACTTTGTATAAAATATACAAAGTATGAAGGCTATTGCTTAACGCATTGTAAGCCGCCCTGAATCTCCGGAGAAGGGCAGCATATAAAAATAAATTTTTTAAAAAATGGTACACATCAAAATATGAGCCTGTGATTTGATATGAGCCAGGCATCAAAGCAAGCTGGACTTTGGAGCAGTCAGTCTGTCACAGCCCACCTCACAGAGTTGTAGGGGGAAAAATCAGATAAGATTATTAGGTGTGCTGCCTAAAGTTGTAAAAACTAAAGACGGGATAGACACTAAATGCAATATGTAATCCAGTATGATATGTGAGTGATAGGATAGATCAGATTTCTGTTTTGTTCAAATTAAATTATTTTTGCCATCACAATCATTAATAGATCCAGCTCAATTGTTTTCCCCTCCAGAAATAATTATTCTGATTCAGAAAATCTCACATATGATGCATGACAGAGAGTTCCATACTTTGAGCACAGTACAGAGGAAAATTTACCCAAGGGACTTCTTTTACCAGTTGTTTTTACCTGTTCAAGCTGATCCAGCAAGATGGGCATGCTCCATAGAGCCTTTTCTGCCATAGTATCTGTCCTATGAACTATTCTCTATCCAGAGATCAAATTCATCCTATCATTGTTGATCTTCTGTAAGGCCAAAGACCTGTCTGGGCCTGGGGCTCTGAGTGCATGAAGGGTCTGCCTCCTGGTTGTGCTAACAACCATAAATTATGACATCATCATCAGTTGTTGTGTATTTTTCTTTATAATAGAAATTTGTTTTAATTTACTTTTAAGAGTTGCTTGCGGAGAAGGGTGGCCATACATATTGATTGATTGAGTAATTGATTGAATCTATAGCCAATAAAACAGAAGCAAGAATCACTTCAAGATAGATATACCATTATAAGGACAGGTAGTGTGCCTATGTTACTAGCAAGAATCTAATTCTTATCTGTACACATGTACATTGATACTCAGTATATGCATTGATACTCAGTAAATTGATGTATTAATTTTACAGACATCCATATTATTTTCAGAAACAGATTTGTTTTTTAATTCAGAAACATACTTGTTTAAATTCATTTTACAAACTGAGGGAGAGCTCACATGGTGTGGTAATAATATCTCTGTATCTAACATGAAGCAAGACTTTCAATAAAAATAAGGAGAAAAAAATTGATTCCAGTTTTCTAACGCAATCTTGCTATAATAATCTTCATTTTTATTGTGATAGTTTTGGTAATAAAGAACCCAGTTTGGGAAAAATCCTGTAGAGTCATCTGTTTTAGATAGTTCAGAAAAAATATGCAAGATAATTTAGATAATTCTACATTTAGACAAGAAAAACCAAATGCACAGGTTTAGAATAGTAGTCCTGGCTCAACAGTAGTAAATGTTGAGGGATCTTGAAGTCCTAGTGGACAATCTCTTAAATATGAGCCAACAATATGGTGCAGCTATCAAAAAAGTCAACACAGTCCTTAGTTGAATTAACATATGGATAGATTCAAGATCACGTAAATGTTATCATGTTATAATGCCTTGGTAAGACCACACTTGGAATATTGCATCCAGTTTTAGTTACCACTATATAAAAAAGATGTTGAGACTTTAGAAAGAGTGTAGAGAAAACAACAAAGATGATTAGTGACTGGATGCTAAAACATATAAAGACCAGTTGCAGGAGTTGGGTATGTCTACCATAGTTTAATAATAATTTTAAAAAAGCACCAAGGAGTGATATGACATCGGTGTTCCAATATCTAAGGGATGCCACAAAAAGAGAGGGTCAACCTATTCTCCAAAGCACTTGAAGGCAGGTTAAGAAGCAATAAATGGAAACTAATCAACAAGAGAACCAACCTCGAACTAAGAAGAAATTTCCTGACAATTAAACAATTAATCAATGAAACAGTTTGATTTCAGGAACTGTGGGTGCTTCAACACTGGAGGTTTTAAAAAAGAGATTGGACAACCATTTATCTGAAATTGTATAGGGTATCCTCCTTGAGCAGGGTTCTGTACTTGAAGTCCTACAAGGTCTCTTTCAGCTCTATTATTCTGTTAGATATAGCATGCTTTTAGCTAGTGTATTTATCTCAACTTCATTGTATGTTGATAAAAGTTAAACAAAATAAAATCATTAACAAAAGAGTGGATTAAAAAAACATTTCTAGCCCTACTGAGGTTGCTGAAAAATGTTTTGCAGCCATTGTTTTGCAGATATTGTGCTGATAGCTTTGATCTATTACATGGCATGTTGGAACCAATCGAACAGTGTCTCCTTTAACAAACTTGACTGGCTAGCAGTATTGCTTCTAGAGGATGGCTTATCAGCTTCAGCCAGAACCTGCCATACTTGGATTTGCCTTCATAGCCTGAGAGGAAAATAAATTGTACCCAAGCAGTTAATAAGAAAGAATTATTGTGAGTGAGATGCATGACCTTATGAGAGAGCATGGAGATTTTACTGACTAAATATTGCTCTCTTTAAAAATATACACACATATCAGCTTTGGTAGAAATTGAACCTTGAGACCCCCTACAGCAAGTTGCTGTTCATCTGTTTTGGGAAAGAGAGCTTTGCTTTCTCCTTGGATGTGAAGGCAGCATTAATTGTCATTTAAAATGTTTTTATGCCTCCCCAGTCTCACATCATGATTCAGGCCACATAGGTCATTAAACAAACTTATAAGCATGAAAACGGCAGGTAATTGGTTATTCTTAAAGGTGAAAAGTTGCATTTACCAAAAACCTGTTAAAATGCTTGGGCAAATAACTGTTATTTTTAGCTGCTCTTCAATCCTGCTCCCAACCATTTGAAAAGAAACCGTCCACATGCAACCTAAATTTAATTGCATATAATACTAACAGAACTCTGAATCAATAGGTTAAAAAGTGGAGCTTGAGGGTTTAAGAGACAAATTAAAATGAATTGAGACTTCACACGTCCTTTTGCACAATCAATGCAGTCAATTGTTCAGATCTGGATTTTGCATAACTGGGAAAGGAAAGGAATCAGTTTCCTGGGCTGGCATTTTCTTGACAAAATTTTATTGACATTTCTATATGTCAGTTTAAATGTACATTTATTTAATTATCCTTGCATACATATGCTTACTATCCAGAGCTTTTTGTGGCAGATTACATTAAAAAAATCCTCAAGATAAAACAATGAAGCAAAATAAAATGAATATACATTCCTCTAATTTAAAAAACTAGATTGTATTTATTATGACATTATTAGACATATTATTATTATTAAGACAAAAATAATCACTTAGCTCACAATCTGTTTGTAATTGTTGATTAATTGAAACTTTTGTAAAATCTTAATTAAAAACAAATTTAATTTAAACATTAAGTCATCTTACTTATTCAGACTTGAGTCTCTGCTGAAATAGATCTTGCCTCCAAATAGAAGGCAATGTTGGGAACCCATGATACCCAAAACATGGATTAAATTATCTCCAGGAGGGAAAAGTTCCTGTGGTCACCATCTTGGCAACTGCAGAGAGAATAACTACAATATTCAAATCTGTAACAAAGAAAACAAAAATCTATAGGTATCATGGTCACATGTATCTGGGCAAATTCCATAGCATAAGCAATCTGAGACTTCCAGAAATCCATGGCCTGTAAATAAATACCAATAAGTCTGTGGAGTTTAAACTGTTCTATCTTACATCTATTAATCTGCTGGCTATACTTCATTAAACAATTAGAGAAGATCATGACTTTGGTTTTAAGGGTAATTAATGGCAAGTCTATCTTCCGAACAGCAAGAGCCAGAAGCCTGAAGTGCTCCTTTCACTGCTGTAGCTATAAATGAAAAAAATGGCCGCATCATCAATTTATAACAAAGTAAGAACATTTCTGTTAGCCACTGTTGTAAAATGAAGCCTGGATTCTGCTTTACCAATGAATTAATATTAAAAGTTAAAACAAGAAGGGGATACTATCCAGTTTTAACACCTACTAATAAACCGACTAATGATTTTTTTTTTGAATTCAGGCAAGTCAGGTTTGTTGAATACTAGATAATGTTGGGTCACCCTTTCAGAGAAAGGTAATGGAGTCTGATAGAAACAGAATTAACATTAAACTTTAGGCTGGCCATATTTTTTTTTAACCTCAATGCTGGATGATCCCAAGATCATTTAAAAATAGTATATATCATAAATAGAAACATAATTGCAGTGGCAAATGAACTTCCATAATGAATCAATATTTACTTACCTAAACAGATAAACAGAATGACCATGGGCAGGCAAAAAAGCAGTGGGAAATGGGAGCAATTCCTTATTTCCTGCTGGCTTCCATTGACTTTGCTGGTGGGGAGAGTCAGAAATCACAATCATGTAACTGTTGAGATGCTGCGGCAGCTGCAACTTTGTAAATGGAATTGACCTTAACATCCAGAAAATTTCTATTCTACAGGAGTAATGGGTCCTCGTGTTTTAAAGCAATCTTCATGTTAGTGGATTTGATTAAAAATTTGTTACAACATAATGCACAAACAGACAAACAGATAAACACAATGAATATAGTGTCACTAGTAGTTAGTAGTATACAGATACCTTGTGATCAGATTCTCTGATTAGTATCAAAGTACTTGGCAGATTTATGCAAATGTTTCACCCCATGCATCTCTGGTACTCCCTTAGTGCAATGACCCCTTTCTGAACTACTGTACTGAGGAAGCTTCTCAGAGGCATGGAGTGAAATCTCTACTGAAAATCTGATTCATATCTCAATATCAATTTCTTGCCAAACCTGACCACAAGATACATAGATTTTATTAAAGCTAATAAAGCAACACTTAAGAGAAAAATGGCCGAGTTAGGTTCTCAACATTAAGTCTCAAATGCATAAAAGTACAAGAACTTCACCTACTATTGAAAGGACTGACTTCCATGGGAAGAGCATTCCATCTCCAGAGAACAGAAGATGCCGAGGAAGCCTCTTAGAAAGTTAACATTTGCATAGGGAGAGGTGTTCCCTTAAATATTAGAGTACTAAATCATTTAATCACTCAAATATAATTATTTAAATATTTAAACTGGATTAATAGTGCATTGGCAGCCAATGCGATTTTTATAAAGGTTTTTCAGATAATAGTCTTCTATGCTTCACAACTTTTGGATCATTTTCAAGAACAGATTTATGTAGGATGCTTGGTAGCAATCCAAATGGGAGATTACCAGAACATGGATTATAACTACCAGGCTATTTCAGTTCCAAAAGAATCATTGCCACCAGACCTTATTGTTCATTATCCAGTTTATTATTTCATTCTAATATCAGTCCAATGCTTGCAACTTGACTGTGATGGGGAAGATGTGATAAAACCTGATGCTGAGTTGCAGGTTGGAGAAGTGAAGAAGCAAATCAGCACTGAATCCTCAGCATGCAGAAAGAGAACCAGTAGGATCTTCCCTAAATCCTCATAGTATTTATCTGATTGTTATGCAGAATGTGCTTTGTTCTGGTGAGATTTCTATAGGCAAACAGTGATAAATAAACTATGCTGAGCAATTCATCACATCATTCTTGGTTCCCCATGCCTGACAGATATAGACCCGATTATTGTTGCTTAACAGTAATGG